GTGGTATGGTGACTGCAATAGAGTACAACGGAATTGATAATTTACTCCAATTTGATTACAAAGAAAACAACAGAGGGTACATACAATACATTATACCATTTAATTTTTGGGTAAATTACAACCAACCCCCTCAGGTAAGGCCTATTTACACAAAGCCCCTCATTTTTGTAAAATTACATCCATCCCCTGCAATTTGTAAATTTCTTACATTAACACCCTTTTGTAGGGGGTGGACGTATGAAATTTACACACTGCACGTACGTGGATATAATTTCAAAAAATTGAAGGGTTTTTTTCGTAAATAGGACTTACGTCAAGGAGGTGGTTGTAATTTACAAAATTAGAATCATGTTTATATAAGTTTGAACTAATTTTTTTAGTTAATTTGATTGATTTTTTTTTAATGTAAAAATATTTATATAATCGAGAGGACGGATCGAATGCAGGTATTGGGATCTTGTTTGGAGCAAACCGGACCATCCACACGACGTTTTCGATAAGTAAGTACTTCGTTTTGTTCGATAATTCTGCACCGTTTATCTTGTTGTTAGTATTATTAATTATAATTTTAAATGAATAACCGAGGGGGGCGCGAATTTAACGATCCAGGCTCGATGGCGATAGTTTCGAAGTTATAATGGAAGACGAAAACCAAGTGGAGATCTCATTCTTGAGGACATGGAATTCTTCAGAAACAGGGCTTCCCCTTAATATTGACAAAAGGTGCATTTTTTGTAAGTCTTTAAGCTGTCACACTTCATTTATTTATTATTCACACAGAGCAAAATATAACATTTTATTTCTCAATTTCCTAACTGAAATACATATAAAATTAGGTATATAATGGTACGTGGTTCGTCCGGATTTTACTCGTACGCAATATTCGAGCGCCTTGAAGGTTGGCCCGACGTTAATATCGCGCAAGGACGAATCGTATTTAAGCTTCAGCAGAATCTGTAATAGTTAATTAAAGATCACTCTCACTTCATTCTTTTTACAAAAAAAAAAATAATAATAATATTTAAGCTTCAGCAGAATCTGTAATAGTTAATTAAAAATCACTCTCACTTCATTCTTTTTACAAAAAAAAAATATAATAATAAATTAATTAATTTAATTAAAAATCTTGAATATTGTTTATGTTTATTTAGGTTTAGATATATGGCAGTGTCTGATGACAGACAACGGATCATGCCGACTTCCGAAGACCGCGATAACGGTGAGGCTCTCGATTATCCGGAAGCCGTTCTTCTCACTAATCCAGCCAATGATTTTCTTAGAGGAGAGGTATTTATAATTAGTGTAATTAACATATGTAATAAGTGTTAGAATATATTAATTAATGAGGAATTTGTCTTAGATTAAATAATTCTTGCCCATCTACATTAGTAGATTTTTACATGTCTTAGGGAATAAGTCTTTCCTACTTGTTATTAATTATATCAGGTTGATGACAAGTACCAATACTCGAGCGATAACAAGGATAATCGGGTCCACGGGTGGATATGCTCCGACCCGCCTACTGGATTTTGGATCATTACACCGAGCAACGAGTTCAAGACTGCGGGCCCCGTCAAGCAGGATCTCACTTCTCATGCGGGCCCCATTTCCCTATCCGTACGTATTTTTCACCGTTACGTTATTATAATGTAATAGTAAGATCCCCAAATTAAACGGGCTGAATTAGTCATGCATGCATGAGTGTGCAGATGTTCTTTAGCACACATTATGCTGGACAACCGTTGATTCTCAAATTCCGCGATGGAGAGCCGTGGAAAAAGGTCTTCGGACCGGTGTTTGTGTACCTAAACTCGGTTTTAGAAGGCGAAGAACCACTTGCACTATGGCCTGATGCCAAGGAACAGGTACATCTCGATCTACAATTAAACCTCTATAAATAATACAGTCGAAAATGAGAAATTTCTATTAATTTAGCGATATATTAAATAATAGAACTAATAATTTAGTACGTCTTTACCGAATCGAGACCAGAAGAAATTATTATTTAAACGAGGTTATTAATTTATCGAGGTTTTACTTATGTATTATATGATATTCATTGGTGGAGCCGGCCATCATAGGGCCAAAGGGGGCCATGGCCCCCACCGCTAAAGAGATTTGTTATTTTTCAAGTCCCCCAAAAGAGAAACTTTAGTGTATATTTGAACTTATAAAAATTTTAGCTCCGCCACTGATACATTAATTTATACGTTGTTAGATGCTCATAGAAACAGAAAGCTGGCCGTACGATTTCCCAAAATCCGGCGATTTCCCTTATGCCGACCAGCGCGGTACGGTGAGTGGCCGTTTAGTGGTCCGCGATAGGTATATATTGTTTTCTAAGTACTAATAACATATTCATGAAAAATGTTCATAACTTATTTTATTTATAAAAAAAAACAAAAAAAAAAAAGAGAGAAAAATAAAAGAAAAAACTTATGTATACATGTTTAATTGCAGTTATATTAGTGAAAGGCTTATAATAGCAAGGTCTGCTTATATTGGATTGGCTCCACCAGGTGAACCTGGATCATGGCAAAGAGAAAACAAGGTTATTTATTTATTTTATTTTTCTCGATTCTTCGCGTAAAATAATTCAATTGTATAACAAATTGATACAGTCGAGGCTAGCAAAATTCTATTAATTTAGCGAAAAATTAAATTATCGAACTAATAATTTAATACATTTTCACCGAGTCAGGAACTGGAGAAATTATTATCACTAGTAGAAAATTTGCTTATTACTACGAATTTTTTTGCTACGGTAAAAAGCCGTAATAAAAGATACGTTTTACTACAGAATAATTTTGAAGTCGTAGTAAATACTAGGATTTACCGTAGCAAAAAAGTATTTGGTACGGCCATTTACCGTAGCAAAACTTTTGTCACGCCTGTATATGCTACGGGACAAATTCGTAGCAAATGCGTAGCAAAAGCTTTTTTAGTACGAATTTGATACCTTTTGCTACGGTTAATGATCGTAGTAAAAAGCATCTAGTTTATTTAAGCAAAATTATTAATTTATCGAGGTTCTGCTTAACAAAAAATATATTTCATCACAGGGCTATCAGTTCTGGACTGAAACTGATGATATGGGGTATTTTTTAATTAACGGTATACGCTCCGGGAATTACAGTCTCTACGCTTGGATCCCGGGATTTATCGGCGACTATAAATGTGACATTCAAATCGAAGTCCGGCCAGGTTAGGACATAACTCTTGCATATAATATTTATTAGCAAGGTATATTAATTAATATTATCTAAAACTTGAAATAATATTTTTTGTTCAATTTAAGGATGCAAAATTAGGCTCGGGTATATAATATACGATCCTCCAAGAAACGGACCTACACTATGGGAAATCGGAATCCCTGATCGTACGGCTGCTGAGTTTTTTGTGCCTGACCCGAACCCTACATTGATGAACCAGTTATACAATATCCAGCCCGACAAGTAAGCAACCGTACATATAAACGATCGATGTTTATTTATTTATGCGACGCTATGTTATTACATTGAACGCAAGAAAATGTTGGCTAACCGATTGTTGTACGAAATCGGACAGGTTTAGGCAATATGGATTATGGGATCGGTACACGGACCTTTATCCGGACGAAGATTTAGTTTATACGATAGGATCGAGCGTTTATCAAACAGATTGGTATTTTGCACATGTGAATAGGTAGGTAATTAAATTAAAGAGTATTTTTCAAATCGACATGTTAGATGCTACATCAGATGAAATATACTGGTTCTGGTATGCAGGAATATCGGCAATAAAACGTACGTACCGACAACATGGAAAATCTTGTTCGAACTCGACGATGTGGATGAATCAGCTAACTACACTCTCCAAATTGCTCTGGCTTCAGCTAATGATGCTGAGTTACAGGTAAAATTCTATAACAATTTTTTTTTTCGCATTCTCAACATAATTTACTATAATTCTATAAAAAAAAACCCTATGTTAATTTTATTAGCATTAAAAGAGTTTATGCTAATAAAAAAAGGTAAATTACGAAAAAACTCCTAAACTTAGGCTAAATAACGAAGAACACCCCCACTCATCCATAATAACCAAAATCCCCCTCTGATTAACTGTTGATCGAGTTTTTTTAACAGAAAATGTGTACAATCTATTATATCTTCAGTTAAATAGGTGAGAAATAAAAAAAAATCCGTGAAAAGTCCCACTGTAAGGGGTTGGTGTAAGACGGAAACAAACTCAGGGGGTTTTTGGTAATTACAAATAAGTGGGGGTGTTCTTCGTTTTTTAGCCTAAGTTCAGGGGGTTCTCGTAATTTACCCTAAAAAAGCAACGATTTTTTTTTTTTTTCGATTTATGGATTTATAATGTGTTCGTAGGTTCGAATAAACGACGAGACGACGGAAACTCCGTATTTTAAGACAGGGCTCATAGGAAAGGACAATGCAATAGCAAGGCATGGAATACATGGATTGTATTGGCTGTACAGTGTAAGTATACCAGGTTCTACACTTGTCTGCACAACTACAAACACAATCTTGTTGACTCAGTCAAGAGGGTCAACTCCATGGAAAGGAATCATGTATGATTATATTCGTCTTGAAGCTCCATCCTCTAATATGCATGCATAATTAAAAAATATATAGATTTTTGTTATTTAATTAAATGCATTTTGTTTTCTTTGAGGTGTATATTTTGGGTAGATTTTATTAAAATTTGAAATCTTGCATCCAAAAGGATTTTCTAAAAATTATTCTTATTTTTAAAAGGTTTTTAAAATAAAATATTATATGGGTGAATTACAAATAACCTTTGAGGTATATCTAAATTGTTATAACTAATTTAAAATTTGTATATAGAAGATATTATTTAAATATAATCGATGATAAATGGATGAAGTGAAAGAGAAAAAGAAAAACCATTTTATACTCATAGATGACTAAAATTAATCTATTTCATATTATCTGGAAATTATTAGCCGATCAGAAAAAATAGAAGAACAAAATGCACTTCGCTTCTTAGAAATTTAAAAAAAAAAAAAATCACCCCTATAAATTCAAAAAAGAGATTATCCTTCTTAAAAACATTGTTCTGGTTGCACTTTGCCCCAAATTACAATTCCTTCGTAATTTCAGTGGGATTGCAATGAATCCGTTCAATTGATGAAGGGCATTTGCGTCATTTTAGAGACAAATAATCGTAATAGCTGCTGCTAATTGAAGATTCTCACAATTTGAGACCACAATTGGCACAATTCATTTTGGAAGAAGAAAAAAATCCTAATTTAGTTTTCTACATTACTGAAATGAACTGTGTTTTTCGTCTATTAGAAAAAATATGAAATTAAGATTTGGATGGAATTAAGGGTTCAAGTTGGAATGGAATTTCCAATTTTCGCCGGTTCCGATCCGAAAAGTTTCATATTGGAACAACTTTTTTCATTCCGACTTCCGAAATTCTGATTTCCGAATTTTCCGATTTTTTTTTAATGGAATTGGAATTATATAAAATAAATTTGGAATTTCCGATTTCCAATCCGATTTAATTCCAAAATTAATTCCGAAAAATTCCAATTTTTTTCCGAAAAATACACCTATAAATAATATACATTATATAATACTTATTTTCCGAAAAATACATCTATTAGTTTTGTTATATGATTTTGACATAATGAATTGTTGTTAGAAGTTTTATTGAATATTATGCTGAGTTTATTTTACTTATTTATTTTGAACCGAAATTGACTAGTTATTAGTTTTTCTTTTATCAACGTGTTCTTATTTTTTAAAAATTATGAACATTTTAGAAAATTTCGCCTAAGTTTTGAAATTTTAAAGCTTATGTGATCGATTTCCGATTTTTTTCCGAAATCTAAATTTCCAGGCCTTTTGGAATTGGAATGAATTTTTAGATTTCGAATATTTTGGAATTGGAATTGGTTTTGTACTTCCGATTTTCTTTTTTGAATTTTTTTTCCGAAAAAACTAATTTCGATCCGATTCATCCGACTTTCACCCCTAGATGAAATAATTGAATGAGTCAAATAGATTGTGAAAATATTTGAATTTAATGTGAATGTATGAATTATGATGCAAAAAAGTCACAATAGAAAGATAAAAATGGAAAAATAAAATAAAAAATGTCTTCGTTCAATTATGCAAAGATGCCATCATAAATCACTAAAATAAATATACAAAAAAGAGTATTACAGCAATAATTAGTGGTTATTTCATTTCAGAACCAGCTAATTATTATTGGTTGGGCTGCCCAATTTTGTTCATATTTTCTAAAATTTCACAAATAATATATTCTAATAAAGATATTATTCTGAATTCAGTAACAACGGAAATAATTTTCATTTATGTGCATGCAATATCACGTGATCAAATTACATTACATATAAATATTGAAGTGATTTAGGGAATATTCCTTCGAGATTAACCTTTAATGAAAATAATTACTTAAATAAATTTATTCTAATTATTTTCTGAAAGAAAAAAAACAAGAAATTGTATTATTTAACTATGAGTCTTTATGTACAATTTTTTTGTTTAGTATAACAATTATACATTCAAATTTTATTATAAAATGACCCAATTAAAGTAAAAATAAATAAAATCAAAAGTCCCCTCTTTTTATAATTTTCTTGAGGGTTGCTTTTTTGTTTTCTTATATGTTATATCCGATTACATTGGATTAGGTAAGACTGTATTTCATTGTACTAACGATTCAGATGGTGTTTGGCTAAGCTTATAAGATGTTAAAATGAGCTTATAAGATGTTTTAGAGCTTATAAGTACTTCCAAAGTGTTTGGTAAATTTAAAAAAAAAAATCTTAGTTTTTTTTTTTAAAATAAGCTGTTGGAGACCAAATAAGATTTTTTTTAAATAAGTACCTCTACCCCACATTTTTATTTAAGATCTTATAATGAGTAAAAATAGGAAATACGTTCATTATCCAAACACTCTAAAAATTAATCATAAAAATAAGATGTAACAGCTTATCAACTCTAAAAACATCTTATCAGACGTAAGAGACTTATCAGTTGTTTAAAATAACCTTAGCCAAACACCCTCCCAGTTGGTAAAATGTTTGATTTAGTATATTACATCTTGTATAAAAGTTATTAAATTATGATATTAATTGTGAATTGTCTACACAATCTTTTAATTAATAAAATTAGGATATTATTTGAAGGACAAAATTGTCATTTCCTTTTTTAATCACTCTCGGCAAAATTAATTGCATGGGAGAAGTGTATTACTAATTTAATGCAATATTTGTCTGTATATTAACATTATAGTACTTTTATAGGTTCTTAGTTGTAATTGACTCAATTCCATACAAATATTACACTCCCTCCATTTAAAAATTAGTGTCCTCTTGGATTGGTTTACACAGATTAAGAAAATTAATAATTTTAGGTTGGTGGACACATTTTAAAAGTAATTAATATATATGCGTGAATTTTAGGGGGAATATATACCGCGTGAGCTAAAATACTCTTCTGATCAACAATATTAATGGAAAGTTCATAATCCAGTATTGATTTTAATTTTTTTGCCAACAATAGGAAGAGATAAATAGACG